GACGGAGGACAGGTGTAGCATAGCAATAGCCCGTCAACCTTTCTGTAACTGTTGTGTTAACCCACATTAGCTAACCCATGTTTAGAAACTCTCCCCCTGCAGAGCAGAGGTAACCTGAGGGCTGGACAACACAGGGACACTCCAAAAGGAGCCAAAATAAATGACAAGTGTGAAGTCAGCATGCAGAGATGAAAGCTCCTCCAGCTCCACGTACAAGCTCTCAGCTCTAGATGAACCCTCCTTGGATTTAGCCCATGGACATTATTAGGTGCACAGCAATGGTTAATGCATCCTGTTTTGTTCCTGGTTCTCTCACCAACTCACTGCATAACCAGTAATAAGTCCCCTGTGGTCCAAATTTAAAAAAAAGGGCCTCTAATGTTTATTGCCCCCATTTTTCTTGGGTGCCTGGACTACACTGTGTTCCATACTCCTAACAAGTGTTAGATGCTTCCAGCTGGACAACTAAACAGTGGGACACCAAAGGGTAGAAGTCACTTGTGAAAATGACTGTGGTAACATAGATAAACATGTATTTATTCACCTGTACTCTGGGAAGTACTTGCCAATCACACAGGAGGGCTGTGACCTTGTGTGAACTTCTGTAGTTTGGGAAGTCCCTTTTTTATGTTCCTCTCCATATTTGTTCAATTGGCAAACCATGTCCTTTTAGAACTATACTTACAGACTGTACAGAACTCTCTAACCCTCCATGACATGTTTGTTCTTCAGCCCAGTTACTTTCCCATTGTCCCTCTCAACATTTATGTCATCTTGTACCAGCTTTAATGCACGTTCTGCATGTCCTGCATTGTATTTTATTCCAAATCACTCTCTTAAAAGCATTGACTGACTCTGTGCTTCTGTATGGAATGGCTGTGAAGCAAGTTAATTCAGCAACCATCATGCACCAAGCAACAGTCCCCGTATGAGCCTGATAGTTGACATTAACAGTGATGAATCTATGAGCTAGTTAAGTTATAGCTATGAAGGAAAAGAGAAAAGTCCAACTGAAAACATAACTCGCTTTTCCATGACAGACCATGGGCCCATTAAACTTCAATTGAACTTCACTCCAAACTGGGAGGCGGAGCCTTGCTGAAGTTTATTTTTTTCCTTCCCTACTTGGGATTTTTTAAAAATAACACCAGCAGCAGAACTCTGCTGGGAAAAAACCCCATCAAACTACACCCCTAGAAAAGGGAGGGAGTCTCGGTAGCAACTGCACTTTTATTCCCTCCAGAAAGCTTGATGCACAGATTCAAAATGAAGGATGTGTGTCAGCTGGTGGGTAGTAAGGCTGTCTGGTGACCTACATGCTACTAAGGGGGAAAATAACACCATAGTCACTTGAAGGGAGACTGGTAAAAGTGACAAATGTGGATTAAGTTCCATGAGAAGAGGGCAGAGTGCTGCACAGAAAGGCACTGCAGGTGTGTTGCATCCTGCTGACATAACAGCATCTAATTCTGACCTTCATAGATAACTAAATCTCCTGTTGAAGAGATATAGATAAGCAGTTTTTACCTAACATGTAAGAGCTGGAAACTAAAGAAAAGTTTAAAAACTTTTCATGGCACAATGGCAGGCTCTTCCAGCAAGATGGAAATCAACACAGGGTGAAAGGCTCTCTGGTATGGGGGATTACCAGTTGGCCTTTGGACCACTAAAATCCTACTTAATCCTCAACACAGAAGTTGATCCATGTGTTGGCCCTCTGCAGAGAGGTAGATTACATCCTATAAAGAGCTTAATTGTAACCAGAGAGGGACTAACGTAATGCATGTTATTTAATGTCATTGGCAGGATGGGGGTCAGGCTGAAACACAAGCATTTTAGGGGGCAGGCATTTCTGCCTTCACAAACCTCTTAACAATCAATTAACACCTGCTAAAAGGGGCTAGGAAAAACACTACTAAAGGCTTTCCTTCCCTAGAGTTATTTGGGCATTGCTTTTGCACTTTGATTCATGCTTTACCATAACCTGAAACAATTTGCAACTGTAGGCAAAACCTGAATGCCAGTGTGTAAGAACCAGGAGCTGGCAGTGAGGAGGCTCCTTTATAGGCATTTCTTCCCCCTCCTGTTAGGGAACACCCCTCTTTATAAGACATCTAAGAGCAACTGTACTGCAGCCATGCCCCAAGCATTTCTCCTTACTCCTCTCCACCTGAAGTAGCAGTATGTCTCTCTTCTCTTTTGTTCTGCCAAATTATTGCCCTGGGAACGCAGCATGCTCTATATGTGCTTGCAGGGCTGGCACAGTGGATTCCCTTTCTGATGAATGAAACTTCACTAAAAAGAGAGAGAGGCTTCTTGAAAGGAAAGACTTTACTGAAATGTGCTGAAGTGTTTCAGGCATTGACAACTGCCCATTCCATTCTACAGGGGGTCTGCGGGACCAATTCTTCTGGGAAGTCCTGTAGCATCCTGCTAACACTGCAACAGCAGTGGTGGAGGCACTAGTGGGGACAGAGCAGCAGTGTTTTGAGTAAAACACATTGTCCCCTACCTTTGCTAAGGCAGGCACCAACAAGGACAAATGGTATTTCCTTAGTTGAGTTCACTCAGCTGAATTAATTTTGCTCAACAGAAACTCTGTTAACTTGAACGTCAAGCCAATGAGTGAAGCCTTGGTCCATTGACATTGACGGCAAAATAGCTAATGGCTTTACGAAGGCCAGAAGTTCACCCACTGCATTAGGTGAGTTCAGCTACCCCAATTAAGCAAAGAAAGCATTATTTCCCTGCATTGGACAAAACCTGCACAACATGGTAGTGACAACATCTTTGTACTGTCTATGCCAATACTCCCACAGTTTGCTCGAGTTACCAGTTAGATATTTCCTACAAAAGTTTAGTGCTTTTATAAACATAACTGGCATTGCTGGGCATTTTGATGGCTTTTAAAGTAGTTCTACATCTAGGTCCAAAATATTTTCATGTTTTGCTTGGTAAGACTTGACCTGCACACATTGTAGTGGTTTAAGTGACAGAGTGATTTTTTTAAAACATGTTTTCAGTGGGTACGACTTTTGCATAGAGGCTCCTAGATTAGTTAAACTGATGGAAGCTGTTTTATACCATGTGGGTTTATACTGCATAATTTTATTTATGTGAGTCTGCATATAGAAAAGAACAAACACAGACTGTATACACGTTGCTGTTCAGGACCCAACACACAATCCATAGTGTGGTTTGTGGCATTGGCTGATATGAAACGTATCCAAAGAAGGTGGAATAAAAAATATCAAGCATGTGCATTTCTGAGTACAGCGAACAGGAGTCAGATGCATAGGGGAATTCTTTCTAGCAGGCAATCGGATGATGCATCGAAGCACAAAATTTAATTATGTCCATACCATTATAGCTCCAAATGTTACTGATGATCATAAAATTATCCAGCTGTGTTGAAAAGCTGGACATAGCACGCCCCCCTATTGACTGCTCATAAGTAAATGAATCTTTTGTTTTCCATGAGGCCGTTTCTCCCCTTCTGAATTTAGTGATTGCAGGATTAGAAATAAAATGCAACATTTGGTGCAGTGTTTTCAGTGCCATGCTGGCTTCTATTTTTTGCTAAAATCATCACGTGAGTGAGCGCAACATTCCATATTTCTAGCCTATTCCCATGATTGAACCAGGTGTAATGGTGTGGCATGATAACAAATCACAGTCTTGAGAGGCCCCATGCCTGGTCCCAGATGCTTGCCTTCATGCAGGAAGACAGTTAATGGAAAGGGCATGCTGATTCTGAATACTCCACAAGGCTGCCCAACAGCCCCCTGAAGAGGCTAGGATGTCACCATTAGGCAAGTACCAAGATTGGCACTTGCAAAATCCCTATGAGGCGGGAGAAGCACTGGAACAAAGAGGTCATGGAATCTCCATCCTTGGAAGTTTCCAAAAGCAGTTTAGACAAACCCATGAGCGAAGTGGTTTAGATAGGGATGATTCTGCCTCAAGCAGAGGCTGCATTACATGAACTCCTGAGGGCCCTGCCAGCCTGACTTTTCTATAAGTATGATCCCAGAAGGAAGCTGTTGGGGATTCAGGGATCAATTTTCAAAGTCACCAATCAAGTACCCCAAGAAATTGCCCTCCTGTGCCTCCCAGAAGCACAGCAAGTGGTGGATATGCCAAGCTGCCATCAGTCCAACCAGGACCAGTATATGTGGATCAGTTCCTGTTCCCAGAGGAGCATCCTCTATAGTGTGGCTGCTCCCCAACTCTATTCCTCCTCCAGCCTGAAACTCTTCCTAAATACCAATGGCACCTTAGTCACGCTGCACTGGTGCAGAAGGGCTTCTGTAGGTGATTTAATATTTCCTATGTGCCCCAGACTGTCACTGAGGGTGATGTGAGCACAAAGAATGTAAGCTCAATTCAAGCCTTGACTCATAAAGCTGTTAGTGGCATGTCTCACAGAATGTCTCTCTCCTCATCATGAGGCTTCACTACAATAGCTATCATCCATGGAAACAAAACTAGGAATGTACTGACAACTCAGCTGAGATGTGCAGGACTGGGCTATCCCAGCAGCTGTCCCAGGGATTTGGAACGCATTACCCTAGGAGCTGAAAATGCCCACAAACCTGGCTGCATTTAGATGGAAATGCCAAACCAATCTGTTTGCCATAGCTGACCCCACAATATACATTAAAATCTAGGTGCACAGTCTGGGAAATAAGGGAGAGAACCATAGATCAATTCCCTGTAAGCTTCAGGTGATTTGGGCTCCACATTCTGTGATGAAAGACAGAGTTGATAAGAGAGGATAAGAAAAAGTAAAAACCAGACATTAAAGATGTCACCGGCTCTGCTACCAGTAACAGCACTGAGGATTCAAGTGGAAATGACTGCAGTGCTTGAGCTCCCTTTATGCTTTTTATGTTGGTGGTTCCCTTTTTATTTTCCTCAGTAAGACAATGAACTCAAATAAGTCAATTCCACTTTCTGTTTCGTATTGGTATAGCATGCCAATGGTCTTGGTGGAGGATAGGAAGCATCCTTTTCAGAATCAGACCCTTTTCTGCCGAGTCCTTTTTTACATTTACATTGTTGCATGAACCTTGTTTTAATACCAATACATAATTCATATGAATCGAATGCATGCTGAACTACAGTTATTAAAAAGCCACTTTAAAATTAAATATTTTTAAATGAGCTTATTTTTCTTTGCAGAAAATGGCAACGTCCCCCAACAACAGCTTCACTGATGAAAAGAGGGATTCAGCCAAGGTATTTTAATGGCTTGAAATTATTATTTCCCCAATGTTGTTTAGAACAGTGATTTATTTCTAGAGGGGAAATAGCTGGGGGAAATCCCTCCATCCCTCAAACTGTTTGCATGCTGGCCCTAGGCATTCAATAACTTTCCAGCATAGACTACATCTATTTCCCTTCCTCTCTCTATTTTTCTGAGGTTTGCATTACAGTTTGCTAAATGTATGGTGACATGCTATTTATCTTGCTTTACAGCTTTGATACTTTTGCACAGTTTCCTCCCTCCACTTTAGAAATTCCACAAATAAATCACTGCTTGAGCAGAATTCCTTGGACGCCTGAACATGAACTGTCTTTGCTTACCAGTTTTTCTCCTCTCTTACATACACCCACTGTTTTATTTATTGTAGGGTTGCTTATAATCTGAGTTGTTTAGGGACTATTTCCCCCCCCTAGAGTGAATGCTCTTTTATTTTTAGTTTCTTTAAATGTAAGGATTGCAAGAGATGTTAACTCCCTACTATTTCCCTTGACTGAGGTCATGGGTTTGCCAAGTTGATGACAGTCTGTATGTTTGTGTTAAACAAAGAATGGGATTTTCAAACATTTCAAGAATAAAATGGTGAGTCAAATGTTGGCTTTTGCAAGCTGGATTTTAAACATGGATTACAAGTTTCCATGGCTCCTGTTATTTACAGACATATATCCTGCTCTTTCCATCTAAGGAAACTTTCTCCCTGTTATTCATTTGGGATTCACTTTTGCTGACACAGAAGCTTGAGGTTTTCTATTTTGTTTTAAGATGGTGACAGTTTAATTCAGACAGAGGTGTGTGCTGGAGTGAAACCAGTGGTTGGGGGTGGTTTTGCCCCTATGGCTGAACAGTAGTCAAACTGGGGGCCTTACAGGTCAGCTTCCTGTTTGGAACAAGAGCTCACAAGACAGAGTTGAGTACTTGCCTAGGTTGACTCCACTCTACAAAGTGTTGCCATCAGGCCTCTGACCACATCTGAAAAAAAAAGTGGTTGAAGAAAATGACAGGTTCCCACAGGGAGTTTTGTGTTTGCCTAAGAGTCATTTTCCTGGGGTACATCTACATTGGGGAACTTAGAAAAAATAATCTGCATTAATGCAAGGCCCGAATTGAAGGTGGGTTACCTAAATTGCAGCCTACCCCTGTGGACACCATTATTTGGAATTAGAGTGCACTTAATTCAGTGTAGCTTCATTAATTTTAAAAGCCTCATAGATATTACTGTTTCTATATGCAAATAACTCTGCTGTAAGAAATAGGTGCCTAGGTGAAAAAACAAGACACAATAACTCCTCTCTGTGGTTAGGCACCTATTTTCTGACAGCGAGAAGGTAACCAGATTAGAAACTATCTTGGAAAAAGTACATTGTGGGAGGGACCATAGGAAATTATGGAAAAATGACACAAGTGCTCATAATCCCTTCGTGGAGTGCCAGTATCCTACAATGCACTGCAAAATAGCAGACAAGGCAGTGCAGTGGATAGAGGCACAGGGGATGCTGGGACGCCTACTCATAGTGCTGTCTGCCTTTTGTTGCTGCAGCCACTTTCCGTGGGGACCTGCTCCTTGGCTAAGGCAGGTGAGTGTGCATGTGCTGTAGCAAAATGACTATGCTGGCAGTTTGTGTGTTACCTGTACCACTTCTACACTCCTTGTGTAGATGTGGCCTGAGCCACCTTTACACGGAGAGAACTGTGTCCACACCAGGGCTTCTACCAAAAAAACAATTGCACCGAGATAGATCTATTAGTTTTGTGGAAGATCAGTCCCAGGGAACATCTGACTGATGTCAGGCCCCAGCTGAGCTCCTCTGGCCAAGCATAGTGAAGATCTAGCCCATTGTTCAGAGTAAGAGGAGAAATAGGGCTAAGGAAGACTGTCATCCATTAAGTTGGGAACTGCTGTAATGAATCGGTTGACATTATTTTGGCAAGTAACCAAACTCCCTTTGTAGGTCAGGAATCTCTGTTCAGCCAAAGTCTCAGTTTTGTAGTTGTGGCTAGAAAACTCTTGTGGGCTTCCATAGTGCTTAGCTGATTACCACAGAAAAAATACACACAGCATGGCAAAGCGTAGACAAAGGGCTGCTTAGTGTTTCTTGAGAAACTCACACAGAGCAGCATGTGCTATGACCGCTGCTCTTCTTTCTCTCTCCTCTGCTTGTGTGTGAGAAATGTGGGCAGGGCAGGAGTGGAAAGCACTTAGCAGAGTAAGCTCACTTTCACGCCTCCTTTTACTGAAGGCACTTTTACCTGAGGAATTGCATTCTCCCACAGAAAAAAGTCTGAAGCAAATGCTGTACTTTGAGCTGAGGATGCCCGGCTGCCACTGAAGAAAGCACTTAAAGTAGTGGCCTTTGCTCTGGCTGCCAGGCTGCTCAGTAAACTAGTGTTGCTTTGGAGTCTCTATGAAATGTGCTCTGCACAGCTAGGAAGGTAGAGCAGCTGCTATGATGCATGTGGCCTCCTCCCCTCCACTCAGATGGATTTGACACCCATGTAGCACAGCTGGTGACTGGAGTGGCATCCCACCTGACTGATAGTAGGAGGGAAGGAGAATTGGGTCATTCATCTGGCTGGGCTGAAATAGGAGGCAGGTAAATTTCACATGGAGTTTTGTTACCCTAGTTTGAAGAGGGTGCTCTTCTGTGCCCTAGTGACAGAGGCTCCAGAATGCCTCAGAGGAATGTCAGGCTGGAATCGGACAGCAAAGAAAGACCACAACAGTGGGTCTCAAGAAAGCAGAGACCCCAAAGTCAGGGGCTACAAGAAATTGAGAGGAGAGAAATTCCTCATGATTGATTAAAAGGACATAATCTGTGAGCCAGAACCATGAGTACACCCAGAGGCAGCCAAGACCTGATCTAGGTAGGCTGAGCCCTCATCTCTCCACCCAAGATGGTCACTGATGTGAGTCCTTCTGTGCATGGCGATTCCCACCTTCAGTAACTTAGGAGAGCCAGATCTGTGGATGTGCTTCCTATCCCACTCATGCTGGTGTCAGTCCCGAATAACTGTTGCACCTTGCATTTCCTCTCCTGCTGACAATCTGAGAAGCTGGCCTAGTGTGTAGGTAGCTGCCTCTATTTTGCCTCTGTGTGCGTGTATTTATTTGTTTTTATTCTCACCTCCTCCTTTCAGCTCTTCTATTAGTGAAAGCTGGCAGATTTTCAAGAGCGAGGCTGATGTTACGTAATGTTGCACCAAAAGGTATATGAATGCTCTGGGAATTTGTGAGTCAAGCCAGGTTTGGATCTCTGCCCCCTCTAAGTTCATTTGTACACTCTGGACATGCTGTCACGGGCTGGTTCTTTGCCCTGGAGTTTCCTGCTTTCCCGACACCCAGAGGAAATGCTCTCTCAGCTGACATCTCTCAGAATTTGGCTTTTGCCTTTTATAGGATCAGGCTGACGAACATTTCAGACTAGTTCAAGCCAGGCTGCATCTACCTCCCGGGAGAGTAGAACACAAGCCTTGGGTCTCTACTCCAGTTGTTTGCTCTGTGAAGACAGGATTTCTCAAGTACACTGATCAAAAAGGTGAAACGTGGCCAATTTTCAGAAATGATTCAAGAAATTATGCTTGCAAATTCTGCTGCCAACATATCTGAACCTTGCAGCCATAATATTGAGGCTGGGTTCTGGTCAGCTCACATCAGGTGAGCAAGAAACCAAATGGAAGCAATGTCTGGAGAGGAGGTCCCTTGGGGGATTTCTGAGTGACTCAGTGGTCTGCACTCTGAGTCCATGTTCTGTCAGCTAGAAAGAGTCTGCTGTGACCCACTGGGTAGCACTACTCTGTACTGTAAGGTAGTTGTGGCCATTTCACCCCAAGATGATTTAATTTCAGTTGCTAGGCACAGTGCTGCTTCCTTCTTCCCTACAGTGTTCAATGGTGCTAGATCCTTCTGAGGGACAAGCACTGAACTGGTTTGGTCCCATTTCAGATGGGCCAAACCTTTTGCTCAGCTTTTCCTCATCTCTGCAGCGACACAGTGCCAAAACCCTGCCTGACAGAAGTCCTGAACTGGCAGGTTAACATGACACCTAGTCCTCTTGTCATCTCTCAGCACTCATGAGCCCACCCCCAGTCTGCACACAGGCATGGCTTCCTGCTGAATGCAGTGGGAGCAGGACTGCCCTCCTCTGAAGGATATTTAATGGGAAATCCTAGGCAAAAGTCTCAGCAAGCCTCCCAGCAAAGAACAGCTATTTCACCGCAACCACTAATAAGAAAAGAACAAGGCTGCCTACTTATACATAAATGCCTTTGCAAGCAGTTTTAAGTATTATGTTTCCAATGAGTTATTTGTACTAGCAGCAGAGGGAAGGATGCTTTGTAAGAGACAAGGAAACCTTAACAGAGAAGTGCTTTGAGGTGTGTACTAAGAAGGTTTCATAATAGTTACATATAGGGTGGTGTGAAATTACTGTGGTGAGAGGGGCCCAGGGGAAAGGCTTGAACTGGTAGAATAAGGTCTCTACTTTAGGCCTTTAGGGCTGGATAGTTCTACAAAATGTGTTTAACCTTGCAGGGGAAAAACACTTTCCCATCTCCTGTGCTGGACTGCCTGGATGATGCACCCTGGTGTTGTGTCAACAGAAGCAAAGTACAATATGTTCCTGAAAGACAGAAAAAAAATGCACTCTCTCTCTGGTCTGACAGGTCTGCTAATCTTCCCTTGCAAATCCACTTTGACCTTCATCATTCTGATACGAGGGCTATGTCTACACTGAGATCCAGAAGTGTGATTGCAACTGATGGCCAGATGTTAGTTAGCTTTGGACTAGCTCTTGCAGACACTGGGAGCAGTCTGCCTATAGTAGCTCTGTGCAATCAGGAAAGCAGTACTTTGTTGCTGAAGCATGTGTTGCAGCAGTTGCTTTGTTGTTGGTGCTAGTACAGAGCTAACCCAGGTACGATTTGCCAAGCTGCAGTCTCGTCTCTGGATTGCAGTGTCGATGCCTCCTTGGCAATCATGAGACCACTGTTAAGGAACAAGCCCTCACTCAGCCCACTTGCTCCCATTCTGTACACGCTGCTTGCTGTGTTGGTGCAGCACCAGGAGTGCTCTCAGGAGTGCCTCATAGTGGGGCTGCATGTCCTTGGCATTCCTGGAGCAGCAACCATATAGCCTGATTTCAGCATTTGGAGTGTGCAGTGTAGGAGTCAGTGCAGGGCCCTGTTTTGGGGCTCTTAGTTACTCCCCAGGAGAAACTGACTGATCTGTTTAATTTGCAAGTCTTCAGCTTTGTTCCTTTTGTGATATATCACAAATCTTTTGGTCAAAACACATGGCAAGTGTTGATCAAGTGCATCTGATGCATGCTGACAAGCACAACAGAAACAACATCTTCTCATCAACATGAAACAGGAGATTGGAGGTGGAATAGGATACTCAAAAAAACAAACCTGTGGGACAAAAAAAACAAGCTTTGTAGATAGTTATGGGAAGGATCCATTTAAACACTTTTTCACATTAATTAGGGTTCCTTCTCTTGGTACCCTTCAAGTTATCTTAACTTTTATTCTTAGTTATTTCAGTATTAAAAAATGTTTTACTTGTTTTCATGAATAATAGCCTGCGTGTTGTTGCACAGTGGGTGAAAATTGCTCTAGTGTAGGGGTTGGAACAAGGCCTTTGATTCAGTAGAACATAAGGAGTGCATAAACTATGGCCATCTGAATAATTAATTTCATCTAGAGTGCTTGGAGCACATTAAAGTTCTGTGTCAATGTGAATGCAGTGAGATGGTAGCAGTTTTGGCCAATCTGTCTTTTCTACAAAAATAAGATTGTCCTATAGCTGGAGCAGCTTTTGTCTGAGGATCTCAATAGCATCCAAACACAGTATATCACTACATCTCATCACTAAATTACAACTTTGCCATCAGCTTTTCTTTACTCACACACTCGCTAACCCAGTTGTTTAAGTCCAAATGTAGTTTTAGTTGAGATTTATTTTGGGTGGGCTTTATAGCTGTTACCAATGCTATACAATGGTCAATGTATTGGTGTATTGGTCAATGTATTGACTCTCACCCCAGGACTTCAGATACTCCCAAATCCACTGGCAGGCATCCTATGCGCAGGCCCAAGCCCAGAAATCCTGGGATTCGCATGTCCCCACTTGATCTTAGCCCACAAGAGGTTGAGACACTTGATCTGAGCCAAAAAGCTGAAAAGCAAGAGAAAATGATGATTTTTGTTAAAAATGTCTTTTATATATATTTATATAGGTTTTATATATACAGGTTTTATACACACACACACCTTCTAGTCACTATTCATTACCTACTTAACTGACCAGAAGAACACCTGTGCACCTGATACAATATATGCGCCCACAGAAAATGCTGAAATACAGTACAAGAAGATCTAGAGACATTACTGGCAAGACAAAATGGGAAGGAATCCCTGGAAGTATGGGGCCTCTTCTGGCACACCTCTGTTGAGTTGAGGCAAGTTAGCATGTAAAAACTTGGCCCTCTGAATTAAAGCAGGGACAGTGAGAAAAGGCATACAGTAGGCAAGAATGGAGAAGCTGTTCCAAGGGAAGAAGCAGCATGAAAACAGCTG